TGGGTCTATGTTACTTGTTAGGCTTATTATGGTCCAAGAGTAGCAATGCCTCCTTATTACAATTCAGCTATGGCTGCATCTGGTCATCCTCCTCCTCCTTACATGTGGAATCCTCAGGTAGTAAATAACACAAAAACACTAATCATCTTTATGCAAATTTGGTAAAGATTAGAAAGACGATTCATCGGTTTTCTTTTTTTGTCTCTTGAATCTTTTAGCATATGATGTCACCATATGGAGGACCGTACGCAGCGGTGTATCCGCATGGAGGAGGAGTTTACGCTCATCCCGGGATTCCAATGGTAAATAGTTCGGTTCTTCGGTTGATCAACTCGTAGGTAAATCCTTGGTGATCGTTTCGCTGACTGGCTTCGGTTTTTTTTTAGCAGGGAACACAGCCTCAAGGTCAGAAGGTTCCACCTTTAGCAACTGTAAGTGGTTTAAGCTAGTTTGATTCATCATGGATTGGGAAAACTGGGTTCTGTTCGTTGTGATTTAACGATTGATGGGTCCTTATAAATGGCAGCCGGGGACGCAATTGAGCATCGACACACCTACTAAATCTACAGGGAACACAGACAATGGACTGATGAAGAAGCTGAAAGAGTTTGATGGGCTTGCTATGTCTCTAGGAAATGGAAATACTGAAAATGGTGCCGAGGAGCATAAACGTTCGCTGAACAGCTCAGAAACGGAAGGTTCAAGTGATGGAAGTGATGGGAATACGACTGGGGTAATCTTTCTCTTATCCCAGCGATCCTTTCTTTCATTCGCGTTGCGGAAACCAAAACCTCAATGGTCTAAAATGTAAGCCTTGTCGCATATGTTTGCAGGCAGATGAACCGAAACTTAAAAAAAGCCGAGAGGGAACTCCAACGAAAGGTATAGTCTTTTTTTCATGCACCATAGAGATAGTTAGATTCGGTGTGAATGTTAGATTCTAACAGATTTTTCATTCGGATTTTTTTGCAGATGTGAAACAGTTGGTTCAATCTAGCTCATTTCGTTCTGTTTCTCAGTCAAGTGGTGACAACGGCGTAAAACCTGTTCAAGTAGCTGGAGCTATAGTTTCTCCTGGTGTAAGTGCAAATTCCAACCCCTTCATGTCACAATCTTTAGCCATGGTTCCTCCTGAAACTTGGCTTCAGGTACCCATGTGGCTTATTGAAACTTCTACTTATCCGATTTTCGAGCTAATTTGTTTCATTTTCCTCACAAGTTTCCATTCTTTTCTCCAGAATGAGAAGGAATTGAAACGCGAGCGAAGAAAACAGTCTAATCGAGAATCCGCTAGAAGGTCAAGATTAAGGAAACAGGTTTGGTTGAATAAAACAGAAAGTGAAGCTCTTTTGTAATATTTTTCTTGGTGTGACTCTCACCAAAGCATTTGAAAAGCTAATAAAGCCTTATCTTTCTTTGTTTTAAAGGCCGAGACTGAAGAACTTGCTCGGAAAGTCGAAGCCTTGACAGCCGAAAACATGGCATTAAGATCTGAACTAAACCAACTCAATGAGAAATCTGATAAACTAAGAGGAGTAAATGCAACCTTGCAGGTACGTAAGCATTAACTAACCAACGATCCTTCTCAATGCGCGTAATCATTCTCATGGTTTTTTTCTTGGTTTGCAGGACAAGCTGAAAAGTTCAGAACCTGAAAAGAGAGTTTCCGGGAATATGTTGTCTAGAGTGAATAACTCAGGAACAGGAGACAAGAACAAGAACCAAGGAGACAATGATTCTAACTCTACCAACAAATTGCATCAATTGCTCGATACGAAGCCTCGAGCTGGCGCTGTAGCTGCAGGCTAATCGATCATAATTCAGGTATCGATTTCTACTTAATTTGTCAACAAAAACAAAGAAAACAAGTGTTGCTAATTCCAGAAAACTCAAGTAGATAGTATAGTAGAGGGCAAGAGAGATGATTGATCTACAATTTTCAGAGAGAGAGAGGAGCTGTTTCCTCCATATGAAAATTTGGTGTTGTGGTTATAAAGAGGCTTTTGTTGTTGTTTTTTTTTATAATGGCTTCCTTTGTTACATTTTAGACCTCATGTAATTTTATGAGACATATCTCAGATTGGTGTTGTACATATACGTAAGC